CTCTAGGACACAGTTGCTAATAAAGGAAAGTGCTATTTTTTATTTGAGTTTGAATGTGTAGGTCCATTTAAAATCAATTATGCTTCCCCTTAAATCTTTTCCTTGTGCCCCTAGCCACTTTGGATCACATGACCATGTCTAGGAGGAATGTGTCCAGACACCAAGATTCGTCCAGCTTGAGGTATGAGCATATGGCTCAAGAAGCAGCGCCAGCCGGTGAAGACGTTCTCCAAAGCAGCACAATTTGGCCTGTAGAGTTTGTTATGCTGCCTGCTTGGGACTTCTCTAGCTGTGTCCCCCTCCCAGGGTTCCTCTGACCCTATGTGGGCTTCAGAGTTAGAATCATAGTTGTCATCTTTAGAACTAATAGAATCTCTGAGAGGCCCCTAACTTTATAAATGAGGGAACTAAACCCAAGGTTACACCTCCCATCACTGACAATGCCCAAACTGAGACTCCCAAACTCAAGTCAGATGTCCTACAATACCTCTAAGAAAGCAATTACCATGTACCTCTGGCTCTTGTAACATCTAAAGCAAGCAGATGTGGAATGATCAACACAGATGAGAAAGACCTGTGGGAGGGATCTAGCTGCAAAAGGCTCAGCTCAGGTGAGGAAGCACAACACTGCTCAGTCTCCTCCTCCCTCAGGGAGGTCATGGTAACAGACGCCCACCCTGCCAGGACTCTCCTGGATGCAGCACTGAACCATCCATGGAAGCATGCCTTCCCATGATCCTCAGCTCCCTGCTGACTCAGGCAGGTTCCAACTGATATGGATCATAGTGGTGAGCTGTCCACCAGTGTGGGAATCCAGCTGAGCCAGACAGTAGGTTGCATGCTACAAAATCCAGCTTCCACTTAGGCTGACTGACATGGGGCTCTTTACACACAGGTGCTCATGAACAAGCTCACCAGAGGAGAACCAAATCCAGGAAGAAGGGATTCATGAAAAACAGAGAGGAAGAATCAGGATCAACTATGATTCTTCTTGCTTACCCAGGCCCTGAGGAAGAGAAAATGGTGACAGCCAGGCACATCCCTTTGTCTTGGGTTCCAACAAGCACAGCCTCTGTGGCTAAGATAAAGCTAATGTAGCAACCTCAGATATTCTAAGACGTGAAGAGAGAGAGCTGCACAAAGGGAATGGTGGGCTGGTGAGACGCCGTGAGGAGTTCGAGGCAGCAGAGAAGTGAAAGGCATGCCATTTGGTAGCTGGTGGTCACTCTCATGAAAACCTACAGAGGACCGAAGAGGATCAAAGAAAAGTATTCTTTCTTGTCTGAGACAGGGACTTACCATGTAGTCCTGGCTGGTCTACTCACATGTGACCAAGCTGGCCTTGAGCTCCCAGAGACCTACTAGTCTGCCTACCCCCCAAGTGCTAAGATTAAAGATGTATGCCATCACACCCAGCCAAATAGTTTATTTGAAAGAATAATGGGCAGGGGGAAAGGTCTATGACACAGATGTGACAGTTTTGCTTTAATCTTGAGAGACCTTTGATAGGCTGAGTAGAGATAATAGATAAGCAAGGGAGAGAGCTAAAGAGCCCTGGAAGTGAAAGATGGAGCCTTAGAGGACATAGCCAGGGTCAGAAAATACAGAACCAGAAGTACAGGGAAGGAAGGGAGGTGGCATACACACACTGCTCAGTAGGAAGAAAGGCAGGGGGCAGGAAGCCCTTGCCTTAGGAGCTCTCTTCAGTCAAACAGATGGTGAGCTAACAACAAAGAGGAGGAACATATAATAGCACATAATACCAAGTTCAAGAATTTCCAATCAATACTGAGGCTGCAGCTCCAAACCTGCCATGCTTAGAAGCAAAAACAAATAAACAAAAAGAAAACGCAGGCTGATGTGGAAAATGGACAAAGTAAAAGTTGGGGAGGTTAGGAAAGTTCGAGATGCTAATAAGAACCTATGTGGTGGGGCCTGAGTTCAAGCTGGGAAGAGGAGGGAATCCTAGATAAGACTGAAAGTCTGAAAGTCTGGGAGACAAGAGAGGGATGTAGCCACGGAGATGGACAAGGGAGAGGGCAGGTGCTTGGGAGTGAGCGGACTGGAGAAAAGGAGCCACAGGCGCAACCCTCAGCTCAGAAGTGCTTCCGTAGGTGACCACTGCAGGAGGGATGGAAGTGGAGCAGAGCCCAGCAAAAAGGGAGTCCTAGATATTACGAGGCACACAAAGACCTGTGGCTAAACTAGGGACAGGAAGCCAATATTCGCTGGCTTTCCAACAGACTCGCATGGAGCAGTGTGCAAGGAGGATGGTAGCTCCATGCAAGGTTCCGACAGCAGGCATGTACCTGCTGCTAGAACTCAGGAGGATCAAAATACCCACATTCTGTGCAAGGATGCTGTGCAAGTCTATCCTGAATCAATTGTTGTTCTAAAATCCCTTTTATGTCCCCTGAAGCTACCATACTATTGCATTTCTCAGCCAGCCAGAAACAAGTTTTTCATCTTCTAGAGCTGTACATGATCAGAACTCAGTACATTCCCATTGCCTGACTTTGTCCACAACCAAAGAGCTTAGCTGACTTTACAATGGGACCATATGGAAATGAGTCACTGTAGGATCCAGTGAAAACGAGCAAGAGGTATTTAGTGAACAGGTGTTTGCGTTTGTTGTTAATTTTTTAAACTTCCAGTTCTGTTTCCTGCATGCAAAAATAAATTTTTTAACATGACTTTTAAAACTTGGTCCCAGGAGAAATTCCACAGGCTAACCAGTATAAGGAAGGAGTGATAGACTAGGGCTTCATATCCTTGAAAAAAAAAAAAAGGGCATCCCTCTTCCCTATCTGCCCTGTCAAATGCCCAAAGGGAGTGTCTGAACACAGAGGGGCCCTATAAAGGAGGGGAACAGAGACGTGCTCACCATATTTCCAAGATCTCTGGGCCCAGAAGCTGGCCCTTGCTCTAACAGGACACACTCTAGCTATGAGCTGTACTAAGAGAGGAAAACCCAAGCTTTGAACCAGGCAGTCCCGTTTTATGGCCACAGTCTCCAGCTGGTCCAGGAAAGGCTATTAGGTTTCAAGCTATCACAGTGTTCAGTGGCTTTCCAGTGCCAAACACCATGAAGACTATAGTAGGAATACAGGCCACAAAAAGGAAAGATGCCCAATGACAGGAATTAGGAAGGTAAGAACAGAAGGAACCTCATCAGACCAATCAGAAAAAAAGATGCAAAAATCAAAAGAGAAAAAGCCTAAGCCCCAACCCAAAAACTGTGAACACAAGGAGCAAAGACTGCTTTCAAAGGTTACCTAACTAAGAGTGAACTCAGCCACCTGGAGCTAGACAGCAGGATACGAAGAAGCCCTAAGCCCTCTACTGCAGAGAGCTTGAAGGCAGCACTGCTGAATGACAAGACAGTAGGCGGGATTGCTTCAAAGGGAAGAAGCTCCCTCAGCCCAATGGAGAAGGGATTGGGGGCTCTCACTGACTCACAAGCAAACATGATAGGTTTTTTGTTGTTTTTTTTTGGTAATAAGAAAATTGCTTCCTAGCAAAGGCCTAATGAATAACCACTTCATTAAACTGTACCTCTTTACAAAAACAAAGCCTCAGCCCAAGAAACCCCTAAAGTCAGCCATGCCATGCTTCAGGACCAGGCCACTGAAATGCCAGGCCCATAGCAGTACAATCAATATGTCCTTCCTGAGCCAGGCCTGTGCTTGGGAAGAAGCCTGTCCCTGTATGTGTCTCAGAGGCTTCCTCACAAACACCCTGCCTACACTGTAGTAATCTGTCCACAATGTGGCCTGTAGTTCTGTTGCCACCAGTCCATTCCCATAGCTTCCAGAATGCCTTCCTGCATTCTGTGAGACTACAACCCTAGTGTTATGTCAGGGTCACCAAAGGCTTCTCACCTCTCAATTTTCCCTTTTTCCACCCTTAGCCTACTAACGCCTGAGCAGACTCCTACCAGTCACTGCAGCCTTCTCTAAGCTCCAACAGCAAAGGGTAACAGAGTGTTGGCTGCTTCCAGGCTGTGAGCAGCATGGTCATAGCTCTGATCTTTGGCTGAGTGAAAAAGTAGGGCTCTGGAATTGTAGGCAGGAGAGGCCACTGGCTGTGGGTCACTCTTGCCAGGAACCTCAGTTCCTGCAGCAGACACCACATGACATTTGTCCCAAGTAGAACTCAAGTTGCAGATGTCTGAATAGAGAGGCTTGAGGAAGAGCCACTGACACACATAGCAGTCAGTTCTGGGCTGCCAGGCTCTGGAGTGCTATTATCCCAGAGTCAGGACACAGAGAGACAGACTCTGAAGCTGGCATCTTCTGGGTATGAGTGAAAACTGATCTTTGCACTGCTACCCAGCTCAGCCAAGAGTGCCAGACTACACATAGCATCTCACAGTGACCACCTAAGTCCTACTCAGGAAAGGGGACATGAAAAGCAAATACCCTGAAAACCGTTAGAACCCAAATAGGCACCGATTGAGACCTAGGGCCTCGAGAAGCCTCCATTATTCTGCCAGTGGCAGATGCCTCTGTCCCAACAGGACGAGCAAAGGCAAACAGTGACAATCTTTGGCTGTGCCGGGACAGGGACCACAGGCCTGCCATATATCCAAACCTCACTTCCTTTCTTGTACCCGTGTCTAAGCCAGGAGGAGTTCACACACACACATGCTCCTGAGCCCTGGCTGCAGAGAGGTGAGCAAAGTGTGCTCTACTCAGCTGAGAGAGCTCATCAGGAAAGCCAGGTCCTCCTGAGCCTGAAGAGGCTCAGAACCTGTGTGTCCGATTACTCTGGCAATGAGAAACACCTCCCTCTTCCCTGTTTTACTGAAATCTTCTTTATGGTGGATGCACTATGGCTCCCAAATAAACACTGGAGATGCTAATGATGAAGGAAGCGCTGCGCGCTCAGCAAGACTCATCTCACAGCCACGTTCTGAAGAGGATAAGCTGAAGGATGGGGAGGGATGGTCTGGAGGACAAGGACATCAGCCACCAGCGTGCCCCCTCTCCTTCCAGTTCTCACACCTGCGAGATGCTGTTGGTCAGACGAAATGACACTCTCTTTGTCTTCTCATTCTCCTGAGATAACAGAAAAATCAGAACACTCAAAAAATGGATTTATTAAACTGGAGGAGACCAGGGTCAGGATTGGGGCTCCCCAGAGCTAATGCGCTCAACCCTGGAAATGCAACCACAGAGCTCACTGAGGGCCCTATGTACTATCCACCAAGTGTTGCAAATAATCAGGGGTTGGTGGCCAGACCTTGGAGGAGGCCAACAGGACATTTCAGTGGAATTTAACAGAACGGCTGCATGTAGTAGCACATGCCTGTAATCCTTGCTCTTGGGAAGAAGTAGAACTGTCACTAGTGTAAGGCCAGTCTGATCTCTATAGTTAGTTCCAATCCAGCCTTGGCTACATAGTAAGAGCTTATTTTAAGAAAAAAAAGGAAGAGCCAGGCAGTGGTGGCGCACGCCTTTAATCCCAGCACTTGGGAGGCAGAGGCAGGAGAATTTCTGAGTTCGAGGCCAGCCTGGTCTACAGAGTGAGTTCCAGGACAGCCAGGGCTACACAGAGAAACCCTGTCTCGAAAAACCAAAAGAGAGAGAGAGAGAGAGAGAGAGAGAGAGAGAGAGAGAGAGAGAGAGAGAGAGAGAGAGAGAGA